ATAAAAAATGTGTATATATATATATATATATATATATATATATATAAAAATACACACACACACACACACATGGAATTCAGAGAGAATTAATTTTTTTGTACTGTGAAAAATAAATTGCTGTATTAACAAGCTGTTGCAATATACTACAGACTAAATCTACCCCTTTGTTATATTATCTTCTCCAAATGTGGAACAGGTCATCCAGAATTAGTCAAGCTGAGCTGTTGTGTAACGCAGCAGCTAGTGACTGGAGCACAGATGAAATCTTACATGTACAGTCTTATTCAGTCCTCATATTTTTAAGAAATGTGTTTGAAAATATCGTGTGCTAAATAGAGTATGAAGGCATGCTTTGAATTATAAACTTAGTGTACACAATTGAGTTCTATGTAATCCTAAGGATGGTTTTAACAGATCCTCACTCCTCCAGTCTTCATAGTAAGAATAAAATATTTATATTTTACTTATTGATTTCCAGTGACTGATGATAAACAGGAATAACTCTAGTTATTTTTGACAACATTGTAAAGCAGCTCCTATTCACACATACAGCTTCTTAATCTGCAAAATTGGTATTTATTGAACTTATTTATTGGACAACTAATTGTAAAGTATTGTTGAATACATTTTAAATGGTTCTCTGTATTCGTACTCAGAATTGGGCGTTAGTGGAAAAATTTAACAGCATGTTCAAATCGTTGTAATACTGTGTCTTCTAACAGAACTTCTTTATAATAAACTCAATTCCACCCTGACTATTCCCTGTTGATGTATAGCCTGGAGATAAATTGAACTACTGATATATGGCCTTGAGATAAATTACACTACTGCTTAGCAAGCGCAGTTTCCTGAAGCAGTGTTAAGATCTCATTTAGCCCTGTAAGATGAAAAATTTAGAGAGAGTGAAAAAATCCCAACCAAGGGTCAATTGCTAATTAATCCCTACTGACAAAACATTGTAGAATAGCAAAGCCTATTTTTATCACCAAAGCATGAGCCTGATTCACAGTAAATGACTTCTGTGTTTATTTGAGACTTCATTCCACCGAAGCATGTCTTGTTGGGAATGGCAGATGATTCAGAGAGTGTTAAAATAAATTATTCTTTGAATCTGTTTGCTTCTGTAGGTTTAAAACTGCATTAGTTTCCCAAAGTTTTCTGGTCTATTTTTCTCTTTTCTTTCAGTTAGGAAATAAAATGTTCCACTAATTCGTGTCTGGAAAAAAAGGTCTTAAACACACAAACACAGTAGAGTGTAAAACCTTACATCCAGGTAAGTCTTTATGTCGTTGCTTACAGTCCTTTTGTTGTATGTCTCTTTAAAATTTAATGCAGTGAATATAAAATTCAAGTGCAACAAAATTCTGTAAGCCCAGATATACCGGTTGTGGCACGCTGCAGGGGAAATCCGCCCGTCTGGATTGAGCCCCTCCGAGGGAAAGTCTACCTCCCTGGGCTGAGAAGGGCCATAGCCCTCTTACAGCATCTTCCCCACTGTCTTCGGGGTCTCGAACGCCTGGGATATTTTTGTGCTTTCACCATGAAACAGATGAAATATTCCTTTGTTTCATCTTGTCTCAGTGAAGACAAGGCAATTGGCCCGGCTAATTTTTCTGATTCATCACGGAGGTCCATTCTGATGTTTTATTTAATGAGGATCACTGCTACTGATGATCAGCAAAGGCAAAGAGCTTCAGCATCTTCCCCGGGACGTGAAGATGTACGCGGGAGCTTTCCACTGAGCATTTAGAAGGATCATTAAGCACATTTCACGCACAGTTTATTTTCCTTCTTTCAGGTCATATGACCTGCAGAGCTAACAGCATCCCGAACCACATCCCTCTCCGATGTGGCTCCCCCATGTACGCATCCCGAGGTGTCACAGGGACCGCTGCGTCCTGCTCAGGGACCGCTGCGTCCTGCTGGAGCTTGGGGCCGATCCTCACAGCCGCATGTTAAGTTCCTGATATACGTACACACACACACACACACACACACACACACATTTTAAGCATTGCTGTATTTGGCACAGAGCACTCAAAAGCACAGTACACCTGTGCTACAAAAGACCCTGCTGCTATTCTCCAGCATGGTGACCGTTCACCTGCAGCGTCACCGGATGGTGTATTTTGGGCCATTGCATCCAAGGGGAAGCTGGTCAGCCGTGGTGGGGGTTGGCCATCACCAGCACAAGGATCAAGCAGATGCTCTGCGACAGGGTGGTGGCCAGAACCGAGAGCTTTTGGGGAACTGGGCAAGTCTGCTGTTAAATATTGGCCTTTTGGTACTTGTGCTTGCTATTGGGGAATTGTGAAAAACAGTCAGTCCACCAGCCTTGAAGTCCACGCTCATCCTAAAATGTATTCACAGACCCTAATGACGGGTATAGTTGAAGGAGCCTTCCCATACTTCACCAAAATTTATTGCTGACCTACTTAAAACGCAGAAAGAAAGTAATCTGAGTTTCCAGTCAGTCTTTGCGCGTTGGCTGGAGTTGTTAACTAGCAAGAAGCAATTGGGATGATGGGTTTTGTTTACTTTGACCTAAATTTGGATAATCATCTCACTACAGGAAGGCCACCTAAAAGGTCTGTGTTCCCTTATTGTGCTGTATTAGCCTTCAACTAGGAACAGAGGTTAAACATTTTGTGGTTTCATGATCATGCCTTTAATGTGAACACTACATTACTCGAGGTGTTTTTGGGGCTCTGTTAGTAACGACAGACCATTCACTGGAGACTCCAGTAAGGAGGTTTGAGGTAAATAGTTATCTAAGAACGCAAGACTTACCAAAACCGTCTGCAGCGATCCATACAGAAGCAAATTATTATTCCTCGCATATATTGCGCTTCCTGCTGCTCCATGGGGTGGATTTCTCCTCGTTTATGCCCCACTGACTCCCACACGTGGTAATCTGTAATGCAAAATGGACTCAACATGATTCATGTCATTCACGGAGCCTACACGCGATCTGCTGCCAGTTTAGAAATTAGCAACACGGCATCTGGCTTCCTTTTGTTTGTTCGTGTGGTACGAGGTTAGGCAAACGCCGCTCGGGCCGGCGGACTCAAAAGTACCCTAACCGGCGCGCGGGCTGAGCGAGCCCGTGCGGCGCCTCCCAGCCCGATGCGCCCTATGGTCCCTGCAAGACGGCTGTGCCAGGCTCGAGGACGTTTCCGGCCGTTGTGACGTCCGCCTGGCCCGGGATGGACCTCCTATGAAAGCCCTTACCTTTAAAAACACGTGTGTATATATACATGCACACACATGAAACTCATTAAATAGCATTGCCTTGCTCTGCTTACATCTGCTGTCGCGTTGCTGCAGTCTAGCTGTATCGGCACAATAATTTCAAACTAGTCCACAGACATAAAACGTGTGAATTTAACCAACTAGACATTGTGTGACTGCAAACTACAGTTTCATGTATTTGAATGAAAAATTTTTATTTTTCTATTGCATTGTGCTTTTAATATTGCTAAGTTCAATTTTCCTGAACATACTAATGACATTTTACTTGGCCGTATCTGCAGAGACAGTGTTATCCGATATTTCAACTTCTCAGGTTATGTAGCTGCTTTAATTGAATAGTAATTTAAAAAAAAAAACCAGTCTTATTTGTGTGCAATTGTAACGACTAAAAAGACTGCCTGTTAGTGAAGCGGAGTGCTGTTTGCGTGTACATTTTGTGTTAGGCATGGCTTTCGAAGTTGTCACTATTTTTAGTGGCAGCAGAACTGCAGCCCCAGCGTTACTGGCGCTGTACCTAGCAACCTCGGATTGAGAAGCGCCAATAAAATCGTGAAAAACTCTTTTCCTGCCTTTTGTATCGTTGCAGTTAATTCAAGCTGGCAGAGGAGTCTTCAGAGAACAATGCAAACTTAGACAATAGGAGTTCTGCAGGAGACGTAGGTTCTAAAAGCTTGAGACGAAGCACTTGCTCCACTGTGGCTGAAAATGAGTGAATAAATTAATTATGCGTGACCTTCTAATATGTTATGTGCTAGAACATGGCAGGTATTTACCCACCGCCGAGCACCGGTGAGCGAGCGTGTGCGGTTTCGCTGGCCGGCGCTGCCCGTGCGCCTGTGTCCCCCTCACCCCAAACCCTTTTTTTAAAACTCATTTTACAGCATTAGGGAATAGAAGCCAAGCTTGCCACGCTGGGCGGGAGACCGCAGAGATAAATGAGAGCTTTTCAAACTGTACTTCTCGGCTTTTGGCGCCGCGGCCGGGCAGCGAGGCCTGAGCCGGGGGTCATGCGCGGGAGCAG